TGACAACTCAAAATCTTAAATGCAGCAGTCTGTCTGTCTGTAGTATGAATCTAATAAGTGCATTGCTTTTAAACAACTGAATTTTTGCACCCGCTTAAGGCTAATTACAAATCTCTCGGCGAGTTCTTAGTATTTTAAAAACCTCAATATGACATTGTCTTATCTTAGAAGCCTGTAGATGTTTTAGTAGCTATCTGCTGCATGTTTTTATCGCTGTGTGATGCTGCTGACAAAAACTTGTTATCTCAGTCCTGGGGAAAGTATATACATGTAATTACTCCCACCAGTGTTTTTTTTTTTTTTGATAAAGGCTGAACAAAATGTCTTGACTATTACAAGCTTGGTTTCTGCCAATGGCGAAATAATTCTAGATCCGACCAAAACCAATGTCACTTTCACCATCAATAGCCGAGACAAAACAAAACAATAGCAGAGACAAAATTATTCTCATTTTTTGAAAGTCATCAGCTTTTCAAACATGGTATACCTCACTGAAAAGAATAATGTAATTGATACTACAAGCAAATAAGTCTTTCTGTTAGAATGTTTCTATTTGCTACATCAAATTCCATAATGTTATCTTTCGTTTGCCAAGTCACTAAAACGAGATGAAAATTGGCTTGGAGAAACAACGTAGTATTAGTTACCATGGATACAACTATTTTATTGCTAGCGAAAACCCAGACAAGTGTACAGCATACAGCTTATAATGCAGTGTAGTTGTTTCAGCCCCCCCCCCCCCCCCCACAAGATGTTACCAGTACTTCATCTTTTGCTTGCAGCATGCTGTTCTGCATTGGTTTAAATCCCGCAAACTCGTTTTTATGCCTTTTGCGATTTCTATTACGACACAATTATAGAAGTCGAATAATTTTGAAAATGATCAAAATGTACGCAAATTGTGTGATGTATTGTAAGCAGTAAGACTATTGTAGTAACAAAAAAAAGTGTTTAAGCTTTTAATCATACAATAGCCATATTCCGAAAAGAGCGGGCAGCGAATTAACCAAGAAAATTTTTCATTGTACATAGCCTACGAAAAAAGGGATTTCATGTCCAATTCTGCTCTGTGTAGATTGGTGAAAAAAAAGCCATTCACACCATTGCTAACAAATTTGTCTGTGTCAATAAAACTTCATTTGAGGGATTTCATGTCCAATTCTGCTCTGTGTAGATTGGTGAAAAAAAAAGCCGTTCACACCATTGCTAACAAATTTGTCTGTGTCAATAAAACTGCATTTGAGGGATTTGTTGTACTGAATGACAAGATTACACAAGCGAAACTGTATTAACGTTTTATTTCTACACCTCTGCAGCAATTCATCGCTAAGTCGTTGAAAGGTGTATTTCTGTGTTTCTTTCTCATTGGGATTTGCTGCACAGAAACGCAAACTTGCATGCCAGATATTTGATATTTATCTGTGGAGATGAGACTAGAAAATTATATTCATGTTTCGCAGACTCAGAGAAATATGTTGGGCTCCAAGAAGGAGGTTTATGATGTAAATGATATCCCTTGTCATGATTGACACTTGGATGGTTTCCTGAAAGCTACTAGTGATCAAATGAGATAGCTGTATAGGATATGAATCTAGTTTTTTGTCTGCAGGGTCACCATATGTTGCAGTTCTAATGCTGTGTGATCATAGTCCGAGATTCTGTTTGATGAACTTCCCTGAATTCTGTTAGATGAAATTCCCTGAATTTCAATATTGTACTTTCATATTGATACTACCGGTACTATTGTTGCCGCTTGTTTTGGAGCTTGCTTTCCTGTATCAGTGTTTGTAGGTATATGATGAGATAATCTTTCATGATCAGATTTGGTTTTCAATTCGTCCAGACAGGCACGACTCCTTGCACACACTGCCTGTAACGTAAAGTATTCTATTTCTACGCACATTTTGCTTCTTAACCAAGAAATTACAGATTAAAGTGCCATTATAATTGATGACAATGTTAATTCAAGAAACTCAAATCAATTATAAATTGAATGTTGTATTATAATTGGACATTGCGGTTCTGTACTGAAACCAGTTCTCTGGAGACTATAAAATAACCTAGGACTTCACTTGGGAATACATTATCTTACTAAAAAATGTTGACCTACTAACTTTTATAAAAAAGACGAGATCCCTACAACTATGAAAGTAAAATGCTTGTCATAAGTAATTTGGATTACAAGTAGAAAAAGTAGTGCAATTCTCCTGTGTGTGGTCTATTACATAGAGATGTGAATGTGTAGCACTTTTGAACTGGTAACATTTGTCGCTTGTTGATCTTGTTTGATAGCTTCTCTGAAGAACTTAAGGTAAAAATTTGTGAAATTGTGTGGAAATATCTACCTAAGAGCAGCATCGAAAATTCAGGTGGGGCATCAGGCATTTGCCTTCATGGCCCTGTGTTTCCGCTGTCGCTCGTTTTTTTCGTACTTTCAGAAAAAATAGAAGAAAATACGAAAATATTTAATATATTTATCGTGTATTTTACGAACATATTTGGCTGTCAAAATCGACGAAATTATTTATCAATACCTTCGTACTTATTATGATTTCACTGATTGAGACTTGTTTATAATTTTTTTCTTTTCAAAATCTGGGCAAATCTGTTTTTTATTGTAAAATGATCGCTGAATACGAGCCGCAGACACGAGTATAAGCAAATCAGTCAGTACGTATGCAGCACGTAATAAATGGGGTCAAATGTACTAAGGTCACTTCGTAGCAGGCGTGTCGTGTGCAACAAATTCACGTGAAATACCCAATGGTGGCAGCGTTGGGTATAGTGTGTTTGTGTTTGTCTCATTTGAATTCCGCGATGGCGAAACGAAAAGCTGAACAGGATGGAAAGTTTGGATACGACATCCGTAATTTCATTTCACCAGGCAAAACTGGGGACAAAAAG